CTTGAATTATTCATTATCTGATACTCTTTATGAGCTCTATGATATCAGTGGTTAATTTGTTTGGCCATTTTTAGTGTATATTTATAATAATGCAGCAAATCTACAGTGTTTTATTAACCAAAACTGTTTTTCGCGTTTTTCTCGAATTGAAGTGTCCGATTGAGTACGACTCATTGGGACCGCCGCCAAATCAAGTGCGTTCGGACGAGGACATTCAAACTCGCAGTTTGATGTCACGTGATAATTATGTAAACAATGACTGTCCAGTTTGTGCAAACTTGTACCTCTATACTTAGTCTTTTGAAACATATAAGCTAAATTACTCTTTTGAACAAGACAACAGAGAATGATTTATTCGAAAACGTCACAAAACCCTTCCTGCTACCTTAAAATTATAAAAGTGATAAACCAAACGGTTTTACAACAGTTCCCTGGGATGCGATCAATGTTGAACTGGAATATTTCAGTATTAAAGACTGCTCAAAATATAAAAAGGCGAAATTAAATGCCAGTGAAAATAATTGGTTTACATCACTCGTGGAACGTAGCAGTCCATTGTTGATCGCCATTTTGAGGTGTAAGCATGTGTTACTAGTTTAGACGCAGAGGGCGCCATGCGTAGGCTTTTTTTCAAAGCTTTGGGAAATGTATAATTTGCGTTTCGGTTATCATATAGTAATTGTTCTGAAAATCGACCCTAGAGGGCAGACACCATCTGCTGGTTACGGGTATGTTATTGTAAGCAACCAACAGCATGGATGACCATCTGTCATTGAACTCGTTTAATAAGACTGTCAGATTTCAATTAATATGTAATTCTAAGGATGCAGTTTTTGGAAAAATATCTACAACTACAGATTGTGTTTAAATCGCTGGGAAACGTCTCCTAGCTGTACCCCTCATCAGCATAATGTTGAATCAAGTGACTAAAAGGCGTTCCACGCATGCTCAGAAGTAATAGACACGTGATTTTTTTTTTTTCAGAATTATTTGGGTTATGTGTGGTACCAGGTACCCAGTACTTGGTCAAGCCGAGTCAGGGTCTTGGTCTCCGTATGATGTTAATATCACGTGTCAAAAATACGGTCGACCATTGGTCTTCAAGTTGCTCCAGAAACAATGCTCCATTACAGAGGCGGTGGCACGAAATTTTACATGGAGAGTAGAGATCTGCTCACCAACCTCGCGCCAAAGGCGAGACCTTACTAGTAGGGGGTCTGGGTATGCTCTCCCTGAAAAGTTTGAAATCTAGGCCCTCTGAAACGCTATTTCCTGCATTTTGAGGGGCAATTTTGGTGACACAAAGGGGTTAAGCTTAATGTTGGAGGGGCGACGCCCCCAACATTGCCCCCCCCCTGTGCCACCGCCACTGCATTATAACGTGCGGTGACCAGAGGTCCGCCTGATAGAAGTGATGACATCGACTTGACTGGATTTGCTAAACGTGTTTTTCTGTTTATTTGGAGAACCACATCTTCAGAACTTTGTTCATTTTCATGGTGAGTTATTTTATTTTTTCAACCATTTTGTTTGACAGTGTTTTGTAAGATTGCACTGTAGTGTTTTTTATGATGCGCCATCTGTCAGTTTGTCATAAACGCAAGAAATCGTGTCAACAACGCCAACTACGTCAACAATGGGTACACTTTCGTTTTAATGATGTACGTGTTCATACATTCCTTATTTCCCGTGATGTAGTTTGACATTGTTCATAGTGTCCGCGTTTCACTGATAATATGAAGTTATTACGAGAATACCTGCGCGTCGGTCGATACTGCCGCTTTATTCATTTTATTCTAACACCATGTGAATTTATGTGACAGTATCTTGCAGATGAAAAACAAGAAAGGGTGATTATTGGCAGAATGATCCTGACATGTTGGATGAACTCCCGAAGACAAGAACCCAAGCAACTTAAATTGGACTCAAGAACATTATGATGTACGACAGCTGTAAAAATAAAAATCTGAAATCAAATCATGTAGAACTGAATACAATGTTGAATCTTATCCAAGAACTTTACGCACCGTGACTCAGATGACTCATTTATTTTGAGTAGGAACATTTTTTTTGAGCAATAAAATATAGTTTTCAATTAAATACTTATACAGCACCATTCTTCAGTACATATAATAAAACAATCCTCAACAAAGTGATTTTTAAACATGTGTGGTAGGTGAAGACTGCCGTACAGGTACCGTACATGTCGCTGGAGGTGGGAAGTGCCAGCAAGGTACCATATATGTTGGTCGAGGTGGCAAGTACTGTAAATGTCACATTCAACAAAAATAGGCGAGACAGTTTCTCATCTCAAATATATTCATTGTTTGGGTTTCATTTGTTGCTAATGGTAACAACATTATAAATATCCAAATATACTATTGAATGAATCTAAGGAACATGTCCATATGTTACCAGGTTAAACCACTTGCACTATTTCTTTTTTATGAAAAAAGTTTCAGTGTGAAAACGAAGGTAGCAGATTCCCGTCTGAAGTATTATCTTGTTGAGGTTTCTTTTTGTGCTGTAGACAACCAAACCATATAAATATACACATCAAGGTCCAACAAATTATTTGTAATTTACTATATTTGGATTGTCGCCAAGGGAACCGAACCGAACCTAATTTAAATACATGTTGTTTCAATGACTCTCTGAAAGACCATTCACCCTGTTACAATAGGTCACGCAGTTTAGTGGCCACGCATTGATGACGTACGAGTAAAACGCATTTCGTTCGAGATCGGTTCGGTTAGTTTGTCAAATCAATCATCATTTAGAGTTTAGCAATGCCCTTCAAAACAGCAGAGACGACATTTTCACTGGAGGGCGTAACATATTGGGAAGGCGGAAACACTGCATTTGCACCACGCAGATAAGCAAATATATACATTAGGTGAAAACTCGTTAAAATAAACATTATGATAATTGTGTACTCTGTTCATTCCATAGGTTGCAAATGTCTCATTACAAGTTATGAAAATGGTGAATGACACTGATTCTTTGGAGGCGCGACCAGCTGTAACTGGGGACATACCGACGCCTATAATATTAGGTACCGTTTCCGCGATTATCTTCATTGTACTGTTGTTAATATTTATATACTACATACTAAAACTTAAAAAGAAACAAAAATCGTATACATTCGCGATGACACCAAAACCCCGGATAACGTCGGCGATCATCAAAATGGACAATCCGCCGATGCCATTTCTGGTGCCTTCGCTGTCCAATCCAGAATTCGCCATCACGAAGGAGTACCACAACAAGAGATACAAGCGGCGTTTCAGTATTGAACCAATCAGAATGCAGCTGCCTTTAGATGAACTCAAACTGCAAGACTATCAACAACGCAAAGGCAAAGAAAATGTATCGCCTTCAAAGTACGGATTGGGAAAGATTTGCTTTTCTGTGTTCTTCGTCAAGCAATGCGAACAGTTGACTGTTACATTACTCGAAGCAGTACATCTGCCGGCTCAGAACATGCGCGGATCTGCTGACCCGTATGTGAAGATCGTACTCTTACCCGACAAACGCCGCAAACAATTCACGAAAGTACATCGCAAAACTCTCAATCCCCGCTTCGACGAAACGTTCAAGTTCAACTTGCCACCAGAAGGGCTCAAGAGTCGGACTTTACAAATGGTGGTATACGACTTCGATCGGTTTTCTCGCCCTGCTGTGGTCGGGCACGTCGCATTTCCTCTGAAACAGGTAGACTTCAAAGCGCCTGACAACGGCAAACAGTTCATTTGGAAGAATATCACGAACATTATTCCGGTAATAAAATCTATTTCAATTACTAAAAAGGTGCCCTACTTCAGATGCGATTAATAAATACTAGTAGTAGTGCATTTAACGTACGTGTTATACAAGTCGATGATAGAGATAACAAAGTGTGGCGACAGGAGTGATCTAATCGTGATATCCTCCATACTGATTTGGATCTAAATTCAGTTTTGATTCGGGCCTGTGACTCGCAAGGCATTAGTAAAGTTCACATTGCAAAGGAACTCGTGTTTGGGGGGAGGGGATTTATTAAAATATTTTAACTTGATAAACGCATGTTTTGTACTTGTCTTCGATCTTAAATTCTGGGGGTATGACAACACATACGTAGAACAGTGCAAGAATTGCAATCCCTAAATTTACAGACTGGTCGTGATGTCACTCCTGTCGTCATATTGAGAGACAACACGTAGTAAGCCAAATATGAACAGACGTCAAACCTTTTGAAGGGCACCTTTTACCAAGAATATCTCTATATATATTAATATATATATACACATTTACGCATGTATATATGTGTGTGTGTGTGTGTGTGTGTGTGTGTGTGTGTGCGTCTTAAATGGTCAAGATGCAATATGGACGATAAAATGTAAATTTTAGCATTGTTTGATACTGTATTGACAAATATGTTGGACTGCGATTTAATATGAACTGAAAACACTTGTAGCATACGTTTGTTTGAAGCAATAACATTTTCTAATACGCATGTGCAGTGGTTGTGCATGTGCAGTGATTGTTTTGGTACGTACTGCACATGCGCATACGGTGGCTTTTATTTTTCATCTAACCAATGCGGATGTCCTGTAGAAGAAGCATGTTTGGTTTATGATAATCTTGATCCGATTTAGTCCACAATATAAAGTATCGAACACAAATATGGCGATATGGCATATTTAAAGCACAATCTCCGACCTGTGATATTATTTTTGTAAAATTAAAACACTTTTAGTTTGATCGTACTTACATACGATTGCCATTGATTTTTTACTTGACACTAAACTGACATTTATAGCTTAAAATATTCTTCGAAATTTGCGTTTTTTCAACTCAAAATAATGTGTTATTCACTATGAAAACAACCTCTCATAAGTGTTCATTGGGTTCTGTTACAGACTGTAGCTCTGTGTACAATTTCCAGGGACTGCAACTTAGAAACTGCTATGTTACTGCTTTTTTCCCTCTTGAACGCCATACTTTTCCACGCCAAAATATTTTGTATACATATATATATATATTGGTGAAACAATTTCGAAAAATCGGAGTTTCAAACTCGTAAAAACTAGTGAACATCTTCGGTGTAATTTAAAGAATAAGTATTCGAAAATGGCCGCCGTTGAGATCACGTTGAAGGCGGGAGCCACGAGACTTCAATTGCCCCCTCCTTGAATAGTTTCATTTCTTTAAGCCGTACTATCCGATATATTTTGTTTATAGCATCACAGTCCTTCAACACTATTGAGAGACTGGAGTGTTGAGGGACTGTGATATATTGTATATGGACCGTTTTTCAGAATGAGCTGAAGCGAGGAGAATTGCTAGTGTCGTTGACGTATCTACCTAATGCTAAGCGGCTAAACGTCGTCGTACTCAAAGCCAAAGAGGTGCACAATTCCAACAGTGCAAAAATAACAGCTAGTAAGTAACAATTCAAGTAACATTGGGTTCACCCAATTGACGTGCATTTGGCTCCCAGCATGGATGTGTGATAACTTTGAAGCTGCCGTCTTTATCTTTTCAGCAATGCGCGCCCCTAGCGACAAAGCACCGTTAACTATAACGTGGCGTGTGAATCTAGGGGTCTTCTCCCATAGAAAAGCTAAACGGGTATGTGCCGCCCAACTGCAGTATACTATCACACCAGTTATTACTGAGAAGTGGGTATCAATGTTGACACGTGTATGGTCGAGAAGTGGGTTAGATTTTGTTTTATTGAATGTACGAGGTTCGTTAAGTCTTGAAAAAGTCTTGGGGGACGCCTGAAAACATTTATTCTGGAGCCGTCTCATCTCTTGTTTTCCCAAGAGATAGCAGTGATAGTGTCGTACTTATTTTGAACTCTGACGTGCGTTTTGCAGTACTGAAATCAGGCAATCTTCACTTGTTGGTCTAGAAGTGGGCATGTAATTAATAAACACAGTGGTCTGAAAGTTGGTGGGGTAAAATTGGGCCACACACCCCACCCAAGTATTTAAGAAAAAACACTTGTTGACAGGCAATTACAAATTCTAAACAGTAGCGACGACATGAACTATATCACACTCCGTCGCTGGGGCGCTATTATTGCTCAAAGCTATGATTATGCCGAACAATGAACCCGATGCGATGCGATTCTTTTGTATATTTTCTTCATTTTCAGATGAATATTTGATTGTCGAAGTAAACATGGTGATGTCTGGTCGAGTTGTTAAATCAAAGCGTACCTCCCGTGTAAAGGGCACATCAAATCCAGAGTTTGACGAAGCCTTCTCCATGTTCCTAGCCAGAAAAGACACTGATAAAACTTGTATTGTAATTACCATGATGCACCAACGCGGGACCGGGTTATTCAAGTGTTCAAAACCTATTGGTCGTACTGTCATTGGCCCGTTCATGTACTCCACGGACAATGGGTTGTTGCATTGGGACGCTGCCATGCAAGCACAAAGAAGCAGTGTGGCCCAATGGCATACCCTTGTGTGAATAGCGCCATCATGCGTTGTATGCGTATAGCGACCATATACCTCGAGTAGCAATAAAATCTGAGCATATGCTAAGCTAAGCTACAGTAATACCACTATTTCGACCTGTATTATGGCAATATTACTAGTATTTGTCCAGCTTTCCGTGTTGTGTCACTGATGTAAATTACCATCGATGCATGTCGTGTACTGGCAAATCTTGCCCGCCATCATGACAGCTTCGTTTAATTGTCTCACCGAATACTTCAATCCGTGTATATGATGGATACATTTCATTTCACAGCATTCGCAATATTCCTGACTATTTCTGTAAATAAAATGTTCATGTGTTTTACTGTATTAATTTACTATTTGTTGAATTTACTAATATATTCGTTTCAAAGTTATATTTTTCTAAAATAATATATAATCTGTACATTATTGTTTATATATTTTGTGACTTTGTGTACTTTGTACAATAAATTATAAATATTTTTTGTAATATCACGCCTGATTCTATAGATTTTGAGCGATTGGTTGTGTGCATGTAGGTCTCTGTATCGTACATTGAACGTGTCACTGGTTGCATCATGAACAAAGTTCGAAATCGAAGGAAGCTATACGTTTTTGATTGATTGAACTTAATATGTACTCGGAAATTCCACACAATCAAGTACCAGTCAATGCGAAGCTACTTACTCGGCCCTAACATTGTTTCTGTCTTGTGCGTTTTGCCTCAATGCGGTAGGCGGTCGTGGTCGGCGATTGGCTGGTTCCCGCCTCAAGTGTCATGGCGTACCAAGACACGAGGCCGGTAAGTAGTAACGGTTCCCGCATTCTGATTGGTCCGTCCACGTTTTCGTTGCTTGTTCTATTTCCCTTGGTTACCTGACGTCTGCACATACGCTCGTGGCCCTAGCGCAGGGGTTTACTCTCGAAGGTTGGGCGAACATGCGACTGTTTTTCTGTTATAAATTTGCACAGAAACTGCGAGGCCAGAAACATCTCAAATATGCAAAACTGAGCAGGCAGAATGTATGGGCATGGTGTAATGAAGACTTAAATTTTTACAGAAAACTGTTATTAGAATGTTTTCAATTTACGTCACGTGACTTTGGGCTGGAATCCCGGCCCAGTGAAACAATATAATAATTTTATTAAACACTAAAATCTACTACAGAAAGTAATTTTATGGCTGTAAAGCAAAAACAGAAATAATACTTCACACAACTAATATCACAAATAGCACATTAAATACAATTATAGAACGAGGAAAAAACAAGCTAATGTTATTGTTTAGGACAAAGCAAAACTGAAGTACAGTTCACTCCACCGAAATCACGAATAAAACATTGAATAAATGTAACTAAGAATGGAAGAAATAAAACCATGAAAAATAGTATAACAATAAAACTACTAAGCTACTAAATATGCCATTGCAATAAAACTCCCTGCAGACCAATTTGATAGTTGCTATGTTCCATCTCTTAAGTTAATACTTGTATGTATGAGTTGTGCAGTTTCTATTCCTGCAAAGCTTGTCATAATTAATCGAAATTGTTCTTCATTCATTTTGCCTGCCAGTCTCAATGAGTAGTTTATGGTCAAAAATTCTATATTTGCAAAAAGATCGCCTTAATTTAAATTTTTTTTTATATCATTTAAATAATTCTCCATATCGAAGGTAGTTTTAAATTTTCTGTATAAAGTTACTTTGTTGCTTCATTCATTCTGCTGTCATTAAATAATTCCCTTCTCAGTGTTTTTACCTCCCCTATCTTTTCATGTTTTGATAAATCTGAAAGATTGTTTTCAGTTATCTTTTCTATTCTTTCTACCCATCCTGTTTTCCAAATTTTTATTTCCATAAAGGCAGTTGCTACAATGTTGGGAACTTCTGGGTATTGTAGTCTCAACCAATATTTTATCATCTGTGTGTTACTTTTGACGTTCAATAGATATCTACCCAGCTCTCCAAGAATATCATTTTTTGTTGAATTTTTGCTGACACCTAAACGAATGCAAACTGTACACTTTCTATAATGTTACTATGTTTTGCTGATTCTTCTCCCCATACTTCACACTCATAATTAATAATTGGTACAATTAATTTATCAAATAAATTCAATGCTCTGCTAATTTTATAATGTGATAATGTTAATAAAGACTGCTTTAACGGAAACGTTGCTTTCATAGCTTGGACGCAGTTTTGAATTTTCCATTCGGTGTGAAAACTATCTACTGTGGCAATTTCATTTCCCTCATAAAACACTGACTTCCTATTTAATGTATGATTTCTTTGATGGAATACCATTAATTTAGTTTTATTTGGGCTTGCTGATAGTTTCCAAGAATTAATGTATTTTGCCAGTGCATCTATACTGCACTGCATACCTTCCTGGGTCTGTGATAAGATTATGACGTCATCAGCAAATAAAATGCAGTTTAGTTTTTGGCTGTTCAGGGGGGGGGGGTTGCCAGTTGCAGATTTTATTTGTTCCGGCAAGTCATTAATGAACAAACTAAAGTTGGACTTGTATCACAGTCTTGTTTACCCCCATAAATGAATCAAATTCATTTGTGAGCCCTTTACTAGTTTTTACCTTGTAGGATACCCCACTATACATATTTTTTATGAGGTTGTAAATATTTCTGGTGATGCCATATTTTTGCAATTTCCAATATAATCCATCACGCCACATGTTATCAAATGCCTTCTTATAGTCTACGAAGCATGCATACAATTTTCTACTTTTTGAAACAGAGTTGATAACTTAAAGGATAGTATAACTTTTTTTTCTCTAAATCTTTTATTAATCTATTATAATTAATGTGGCAGTGAATAGCTTACCCAAGCAACTGTACAAAGCAACTCCCCTGAAATTGTCTGGGTCTGGGTCTGATCTTGATCCTTTTTTGTGTAATTGTAATTGGTTCCATAAGATAGTTCTGGCCATACTTGATTAGTTCATTAATTATTTTGTCTTCGCCAGAAGATTTAATTTTAATTTCCTGACTGCAGATTTTACTTCACCTATGGAAATTGGTTCATTTAGTTCCTTATTAATCTCTTTATTATTTTCCATCTCCCTAGTTTCATTAATTATTTTATTTTGAAAATCAATGTCATATTTACAAGTTTTACTATTTTTTAAGTTATTCAGATTTTTAAAGTGGTTGTACCACTCATCTGCGTAGATTGTCACTGTTAGTACTGATACTAGTATCATTCTTTGAAAAGAGTTTGAAATTTTTCCAATATTGTTTTGGGTTACTTTCTTGCGATGTAAGTGAATGGCATGTCTTTTGGGTATTTCTCCACTAATTTGGCAACTTCTCTCAGGCTGAATTTCTTTCTTAAATTCCAACAATCATCGTCAAACCACTTCTGTCTTTTTGCGTTATTTATTTTATCAATGAATTATCAATGTTATTGTTTTCATAATTAAATGACACCAGCTTATTAATGATTTCTGTGCTGTGGAAATCAGAGAGCACTGTTATTCCTCACTGTAAATTTCTTTGATACTTTAGAATGGTCATTTATGTACAAAACCCTAGAACTAATTAACTTCGAATTCGGCCCTTCACTAATAAGATTGGTAGAAACATGTTATACAAATATTCAAAGTTATTACAAATATGGGTAACAGTACTGGGTGGTTTGAGTTGCACAGAGGGGTCAGACAAGGATGTCACTCATCAACTGCGCTATTTATTTCCATAGAAGTACTCTCCATTCACATAAGAAACATCAACTAAATTAAAGATATTACATTACCTTCCGGGCACGAGCAAAAATTAATCTAAATTTAGTGTGCGTCTGTAAATAACCATAAATTAGTGATCATTTTGATGACTTTTGCATATGATTTTTTAGTGTCCGTTTTGAATGATAATTAAGCCTGTTGTATATCACCATAATTTTCATATCAATAATTACAATATAATCTTTTACGAATGGAAAACAAATGTTTACTTTTATTTAAGACGTAATGAAATACTTAAACTCGGTTAAGATTGTCTACTCAATGTTTTACATTAACTGATCTACATCGTTTATTCATCAATTATATTTACTGAATTTTGGAGTTAATCAATGCAAATTTAAAAAAAAAAATATTTAAAAATTGATGATGCAAACTTGTGAATGAATGTACAAATCGGGTCTTAAATCATGCCCAACTAACCGCAGTGATGTGGCTGTTTGGGAAATTATTTACAAGCATGTCAAATGAAATATTATTATCCAAATCGACAACTTAATTTCATATGCAAAGACCATGGGTAGACGCTTGCTTGTAAACAATGACACGCTATGGCCATCTGACGCATGCGCAGGTGACGACTCCCGCTTTAAAAATGGGGTTTCAGGTAAACTGTTTCATCCGTTAAAGTATGTACAGCAAACTTAAATACAAAATGAAAAAAAAGCGACATTCCAAAAATCTTTGAACCAACAAAAATTCAAATAACATTGAGCAATAAAAAAGTCTATACCTACTGTGTATATTGGACTTTAATTGGACTGCAATTATTAATACGAATGAAGCGTAGGGCAGAAGTTTATCTCAAACATCGACCCAGGAGTGTGCGTGTACTTTCGGATAAATAATACTGTAATGAGTCACAGCTTGGCCGAGCATATTTGGTTGAGTGTGCAACTAAAATCCAGTATGTAGATGCACTATATAGGTATTTGTTCAAATAACAAAGGTGCTAGACTGGCTCAGCTGTGGTGATTTAAAGATAAATGGAAAAAATAGTTCTGCGAAAGGTGGGGTGTGAACGCGAAACCACCACAGACTGGGTGATTTCGCGGTTACAGGGGATTTCGCGTTAACACCTCCATTTCGCTATTTTTTTTATTTAATTTTAAATTTAAAAAGAAATAAATCTCCCAGACTGTGCCAGGCTACGAAGATATGCCTGTAACGCAATAAGCATGATGATCACCATGCCAGTTTTGTTCAAAACCATCCCAGTCATGTATGAGAAACGGCTCCGGGCACGTTTGAGTATCAGAATATAGCAAATGTTGTATAAAGGCTGCCAGTCGTCCGTTTTCCTCGGATCATTTAGTAACTTGCCGTGCATAAGCATGTTATTATCTGGGCCCGCGGTGCCGCGGCCACTGTCTATTATCTTCATGCACAGTTTGAAATGGGTCAGCTGATGCCTGTATGGCTGATACAAGTCAGAGAAATAGCTCCGGAAAAACAGAACCCAAATTAAAAAATAGTGCAAGTTGTATGGTACTCGGGAAAACCAAAAATTTTGCGAGCTATGTAATAACAATGAAATTGAAGTCAAGTTTCAAGGATGTCAACTGTAGAAATAAGTCAGCAAATAAAGGTGTGGTCAGTTTCCAATTACCATAAGGACAGACACGTGTGTGGATGTACAAAAATAAACCGCCGGCAGAGCAATGGGTCACGTGGTCAAGAGTGGCGTATCAGCGATAAATTCGTTATCAGAGGCGGCGGCACGAATTTTTGCATTAAGGGGCGAGATCTGCTCACCCCTCACGCCGAAGACGCGTGCTCACTAGGGGGATCCAGAGGCATTCTCCCCCTTAAAAATGTTGAAATCTAGACCCCCTGAAACGCTATTTGCTGCATTTTGAGGGTCAAATTTTGCTGACACGAAGGATTTCAGCTTCAAGTTGATTTTCGAGAAAGCGACGCCCCTCCAATTTTTTTTTTTCGAGGGGGCGAGTGCCCACCCCCGCCACCCGTGACCAATGAGTCACTCGAGTGTCTATTACAGATTTGGAAAATCATACGACTAATACCACGCCCTCATTACATTTTCAGCTCCCAGGGTGAACGTTTTAGATAGTGAGTTACAGATACCCCCGCCCCCGGAAGAGTTTACTGCGGATACGCTAATGGGAGGTGGCGCATCCGGAAATAGCATAACAATTTATTTTGATCTAGTCCTGGTAATATTGTTTATTTAGTCGCAACTGTTCGGTAATGTAAACTTTGGTTTAGGAATCAAATATTCGAAATCATGTGGGTGACTGGAAGATTGTGGCCAGCCTTGAGTGCAATTATATCCCAGTGTCTTGTCTACATTTTTATTTATTTTTCCTGCAAACACCTTACATGGATTTGTTTTTCTCTGTCTAGCTTACAATTTGTTTTCACCTAATTTTCCAGCCCCCACCATGATTTCAAAAGGTCTGATCCCTAACCCATATACTAGTAGATAGACGGGATTGGTTGCTTGACGTTCCAGTCTTGACTGAAGAGTAGTGAACATTTATTGCGAAAGTGGCAATTCGACAGTTGTGGTCAAGAGGTTCGAGCTGCACCTCTCTGTCCGCATGCTTGAGAGTAACCCCCCCCCCCCCAATCTCAAGGGGCCGATTATCCCATATTTGAGGTTTTGATAAAAAGTACAATAACGTAATAAATTCTGAAAACATAAAAAATAACAATACAGGAAAAAATCAAACAAGACGCTCACTCAGCTACCTTTGAACTTTACCCCATGAACCCGGAAATATGACGACGGTAATTGCGAGCTGTATTATTTCGAATAGTTCCGCCTTTGTGTATTGAACGTCAGACATTTAACAAATATGGCTGTAACGCTAGTTTGAACGCGTTTGCTGAATTCAAGTTGACGGTGGGCAAAAAGAAGTATCTCAGAGTACAGCAGAGCGTGCCGATATTTGTCATGGCGGCAACTTGAGAGTGCACTTAGCCGAAGTTCGGTGGGTAAAGATCGCATAACTTTACTGTACGCATCGATCGGCCCACAGCAAGGAAGTTCGGTTCAAAAATTCAACCTTTGTGACCTTCTGAGACGTAACTGGTTGTATTCAGCTATTTTCCTTAATTACGATGGAAGGTAAGAACATATGGAAGTAATATTAAACTAATAACACATTTTATTCGTACAGAACGATGATATTATAGAAGTTATTCTTGTTTTGGCGTTCACCACCTCCCAGAGTTCGTAATTTCGACAAGGATGTTTATCGACACAAGGAAGTAACTTCCATCTTTTGTTAGACTATTGATTTTTGTGATATCTTGAGGGAAAAGAAACACTTGTCTGTATTTCGCTTATTTTCATCAAATCACTGAACAGGGAATCGTTTTAAGGGATCACCCAATCAAACAGTGGGTGGGTCGCATTAATGGCAGTGTGCTTCCTGATCTATGGTTTGAATAAGGTAAAAAAAGAAAATTACACAATGGGCATCGGAATTGTTAGAAAAATGTTAATTTAAATAATTTTTACCCTTCTCGCCCCATGGCAACTTGACTGTGAAATGTAGCCATCAAGGGTGTACTTATATCATTCTGCTTCTTGTTGGTGGCAAGGTCTATTGGTGATAAATATTTAATTGTTGGTGTTAGTGGGAGGCAAATTACATCATCTGCAACATAGAATGAACAATTCAAATTCAAAAGTTTTTCTAGAATGCAATTTATAATTTATTTTTTCAAAAATAATGCTACCTTTTTCCCCATATGATTTGCAAACACTATTAGATTTCAGGTGAAGTTCAAGTTCAAGGAAAGTTGCAATAAACAAGTTATACTATCATTTTCCTTAAATAATATTTGTGGTGTAATTTTCATTTAATGTTTATAAAAAATTATGCATATGCTAATCACACTAAAATCTTAAAAAGTTTAAAAGGTGCCGTGTTCTGTTTGATATGGGACTCATAGCGACGTACACAACGCCTGTAAAATACATTGTTTATTTACATGAAATTCGAACACGCACTGCGTGACAATCACTGCCCTTTAAAGTGCATGTTATTTTTTTCAAAGAACATCAGTGAACATTCTCATTGGGTTTGTCTACTAAAACAGCTCGTTTAGAAAAGTACACTTCTTCTGTTCGATACTTAAGTTTTTGTTTTCATTTCCCTTAAAAAGTTTATGATTTTTGATGTCATTTATGTTATATATTTTTTTTACATTCATGCGTTGTGAATTCAAGTGATATTTCCACCACTATGTTAAACTAATGGGCAGGGGATCACAATAGGTCACTCGCTTGGTTTTAATTTCTGTGTATTCAGTTGCCTTAAAATGTATGGCAGTTTTTTTAGGAGTTTTTTTTTTGGTATTCAACCTAAAAATGGTGGCAACAAATTTATCAAAATATTTTTTTTTAAAAGTTACACATATTTGACTATTAGACATGTCATCAATTTGTCAGGAGAAAAAGTGCCTAAAAATCTGCAAAATTTAACAGTTTGGGAACAATTTTTATAAAAAGTCATGTTAAAGTAATTATCCATAAAAAAAATTTAAACATTAAGAACTTAATATTTTATTCAATTTATACATATTCATAACATTATACATATTTTATTCCCCAAAGAAATCATTACCAACCTGCAAAAATTCACATATTTAATGAAAAGTAATGACAGAAATATAAAAAAACTTTTAGGAGAATTTTTACATAAATCATTCATTTTAAGAAATAAGCTTTCTGTGGATATAATACCTTGACTCTTTTTTTTTTCTATTTTTTACGTTATCATACTTTGATATTATTTTAATCACTTATATATTTATTGCTGTAAACCAATAGAACATTTGTACTTCTAAGGATGCAATAAAGTTATTATTATTATTATTAACATCAAATTACACAATGCCATATTCAACCCATGTCCAATCCAGCACGAATCTCTTCTTTCAAGGTCGACTAAGTGCCCACTCCTCTTGAAACATGCAAATTTGACCAAGTAGTCATAAAACTTCGTCTTAACTTTTCTGAACAATAAAATGCTGCATTTTGGGGAACAGTGTTTACATTATTTGCGCATACCATTGTTTATTCCCTGAACAATCATCAGCCATAGGAAAAATAGTTTACACCATAGTTACAAGTCCATGAGTGACTATCTAAATGATTGCAGATTAACATCTATTTTTATACTGGCACAATGTGGTGCTAGTCACTTGTTACATATTGATCTATGACCACACCACTGATTAATTACTTTAATGTACTGTTTTGTATGTAATCAATGGCAACATTAGTTCACTTATATTCAGCTTTGTAGTGACCACAAACAAAAAAAATCCTTCTTCTTGTAATTTTTTTTGTAAATGTCCTTTAATTTTATAAATGTGCATATAAATTGTTTGCTCAAAATGGATTAACTATAAAATACTTTATTTTCGTTATTTTTGCTGAAGAAGTGATTCAGTGAAAATAGAATCCAGCGAGTGTAATTTTTTTTCCTATATTTTACATTCAACTCAAAAATCAGTGAAAATAAATTCCATACAAAAAGACCCAAAAAGTCGTTTCAGTGAAAATTAATTCCAGCTCAAATAAAGTATTTAACAGTAATTAAGTTTTGAGAGTTGGAGTAAAAAATATAAATTCCCCTGAGTATACATGAAAATATTGGCCTTATATTCACCTCTCTCCACTCCTCCCTTGGGTATAATAGTAATGAATTTGCATTAAATTACAGGGGATATAGCAAATTCACATCGTGATTCCAAAGAGTCAAACTATGTTCTGGTCAAAAAGTACAATTCCTCCCATGATGCAATTTGTTTCTATCAAATAATGAAATGTATATTGCTTCAAAATAATGTCAAGTTTT